TTATGTATGCTCCCATCACGGGCAGCGACAGCAGCAGCCTTGAGCAGTTTTGCTGTAGTGGGGGCTATAACAGTGGCTCACTTTGATGAGCATCAAATTCTGAGAGAACTAAACCCAGCAGCCACCTTGGCGAGCCTCAGCTTTGTGCTCAGTGAATGGCTGCTGCCACCTAGCAGCTGTGCCTGGCTCCTGCCACTCCCCGGGACAGCCTCTCGCCTTCAGTGCCAGCTCTCCTACCTTGAAGCAAGTTTGTTGACTATTAATTAGTTTCACAGGTGAAGGGCTTTTCTTTTTCCGTTTACATCATCATCACAGCATGTCAGGCTAAACACTTTGAGTGGTCCTTGCTGAAAACAGCAGTGCGAAGCTAGGAAGCTGTGTGTGCATCTGTGAATCCTGGCATCTGTGTGTGTTTCTGTGGACATGTGTTTGTGTGAGAGTTTATGTGCACCCGACCTTTTCAAGACTGAGAGGAACCTTCCAGGGGCTGGTCACTGTAAGTCCAGAGACAACTGCCAAGTCTGATAGGCCAGAGTTCAGAAGAGAGGGAGAAATGACTTCTCGATTGCAGAGGTAACACAGGATCACAGAAAATTCTGAGGGGAAATAGCTGTGTTACTAGTTTGACCTTTATGAGAGTAAATGCAGTCTCTGAAGATCGGGCTATCTGATGCAGAGTGGACACTTGACCTTCGAGTCAGGGGCTGAGAGATGTTGGTGGTGTAGGTGGAAAACATTTAACTGTATTTTTCAGAAAACTGAATGATCTCTACAAGGGTCCAGTCCCTGTTGTACTAGACATGTCCCAAAAATATGGTCTCTGCTGTAAAAGGCTATGACCAGTGTTAGAGTAGATAGGAGATAAAGGGCTCTAAACTCTTCACAAAGGCATTTGAAGTGACTGGGAGTAGAATCAGAAAGTGAAATTCAGGAGTTACAAGCTCATGTGAAAGGCAGAGCCTTTAAAATTTGTGTGCATACTGACATATGTCTAGGATGGTATAAATAGTTCACCAGCCAAAGTTGTCTTTGTTCCTAGTCTGATAGTCTTAAATCCCATTTTAATTCTGAAATAGTTTGTTCTGGGGATGGAAAGGGGGGCTGAGGAGATTCACTCTGCTTCTTGCACACCTGCTAGACATGAAGCATTCACCCCATGCTGCTCAAATTCCAAGTGGTGTAATGGCAATGCCACCCACTTTTAAGCAGGTGCCTGTACAAATGCACTTTCTCAGCATCACTGGCACAGTGTCCCCACCTACGATCAAACATTTTCACTTCTGTCATTGCTTTGCTGAAATTTTGCTTTGCTTTTGGCTGTGGCTTTGAGTAGGAAGTAGAGTGTTTTCCATCCTTCCCACTGGACCTTCCCCTTCTGCTTGTGTTTGCCTGCCTGTCCATCTGCACCCCATGGATGTTAGCCTTTGCTGCTGCACTGTGTGACCTTGTGGTTGATCATATGGTCATCTACCTGCACCCTCTGTGTCCTCAGCAACTCCTTCCTTCACTGCATCCCCCACCTCGAGCAGCCTCCCCCTCTGCTTCTCACACTAGTGCCACTTGTTCTGAGTCCTGCTCTTTTCCTCACCTCCTGACACCTCCCCTACTGCCTCTCTGTATACCTTCTGCTCTTGCCTCACCACACCTGCCACCTCTTGCCTTTTTCTCCCCCAGTCTTGTTCCTGTCTGAGGCAGTAGGACAGAGGGACACTCTTTGCCTAACTTGCTATGCATCAGGGAGCCAGGGGAAGAATGTGGCTCCTACCCACATAAGACATGGAAAGGAAAAACTTCAGCAACATCAGAAAAAAGTGAATGCTAGTCTGTCCTTTGCCTTGTGTTACTGCATCCTGGTTCTTTCTCCCACGGGGTAGGCAAACTATGCAGCTGCAAATGGTATAGGATCCATCCTACATTCAGGGGATTTCTGTACTGCTTTCAAACTGAGAACCTGTGCAAGAGGGATTTTGGCTGCGCCTCCACTGATGCTGACCAGCTGAATGACAACCATCAAGTCTGTAGGTGGTCATCACAAAGCTATAATAGAAAAATCTCTTAGTCCACAAGGCGCCTCTATTTGGGGTCTAAGTGCTAGTCTGTATCTTTGTATGCCCACAAATTGCTCAAGCAATAACATGTTTACACTTGAATTTCAATTGCTTGGAGTGCATATCAGTTTGGGGAGTGGAATTCTCCCAGGAAATGAGGGCAGAATGGTATAAAAAATTGCTCATCTGTATCAAACTAATGGCCCATCTAGTCCAGTATTCTGTCCTAACCATTCCTAGTGCTGGATGCTTTAGATAGACTTGTAACAACCCCCTGGTGTGCCCTGTTTTACAATGCTACATAATAGGGAGACATTGCTTTCTGACCCCAACTTGCGATCATTTTATACCCTGAAGTGAGACGACTAATAACCCATATGGTTTTTATTTTAGCAAGCCTAGCTGCAGATGCTATTCTTGTAAGGTCTAATCCTTTTCTGAATCTTGCTAATCTGTTTTCCTCTATAATATCCTCTGGCAACAAGTTTCACAGGTTAATTATACGTTGATTGCACAGTCTTCCCAATCATAGACACAGTTCTGTTGTACCTCATCTTATCCGTGTGTTTTTAAGTCTTTCAGCAACCAGAAGAGCCTGCAAATTTATTTCTGCAGGAAAATAATGGAAGAAACTCACTTTATACTGAATTCTGCATGCATAGGCCTTGAGTTACTGATATTATCTCAGTTTCCTTTGAATGCAGAGCATGCTTCTCTTCAAGTAATCTATCTGGTATAGCTATAAAGAACTTCTCCCTTGGATTTTGCCCTGCAGCTCGTGCTTCTTAAATTCCTGCTCCCAAGTTGTCTATAACATACCCCACTCCTGAGTCCATCGTATGTCATCTAGCCAGGCTACAGCCACATCATGACTTTATGTGCTTGTATCCCTGATTTCCTGCTTCCTGATCTTCACAACTCACTGAGATGAGACCTAGACTAATTAGAGAGATGGGCAGTCACCAACTATATGAAGTTTAACAAGGGCAAGTGCCAGATTCTGCACCTGGGACCGCGCAACCCTGGTTGTGTGTATAAACTGGGGAATGAGAGGCTGGAGAGCAGTGCCATGGAAAGGGACCTGGGGATCCTGGTTGACAGCAAGTTGAATATGAGTCAGCAGTGCCCTGGCAGCCAGGAGGGCCAACTGTGTCCTTGGGGGCATCAGGCAAAGCATCACCAGCCAAGGGAGGGGATCGTCCTGCTCTGCTCTGACCTGGTGAGGCCTCACCTTGAGTCCTGTGTGCAGTTTTGGGCACCACAACATAAAAAATGACATTAAGCAATTAGACAGCATCCAAAGGAGGGGCACAAGGTTGTTGAAGGGTCTGGAGGGGAAGCCATATGAGGAGCAGCTGAGGTTATTTGGTTTGTTCAGCCTGGAGAAGAGGAGACTGAGGGGAGACCTCATTGCAGTTACAACTTCCTCATGAGGGGAAGAGGATGGGCAGGAACTGATCTCTTCGCTCTGGTGACCAGCGACAGGACTTGAGGAAACAGCATGAAGTTGAGTCAAGGGAGGTTTAGGTTGGATATCAGGAAAAGGTTTTTCACCCAGAGGGTGGTTGAGCACTGGAACAGGCTTCTCAGGGAAGTGGTCATAGCGCCAAGCCTGTCTGAGTTCAAGAAGCATTTGGACAACACTCTCAGGCACATGATGTGATTTTTGGGGTGTCTTGCGTAGGGCCAGGAGCTGGACTTGATGATCCTGATGAGTCCTTTCCAATTAGGTGTATTCTGTGATTCTGTTATACTGGGACCTTTTGCAGCCACTGAGGACAAACAGCTTCCACCAACCAGCCCGTATTCCCATGTGGTCCCTCTGTCCTTCAAGGAAGCTGGTGTTTACTCCAAGGAGCATAAATGATGTCAATAGCACATTTTTCAATGGGAGCAGGAGGGACTCCCTGAAGTATGCATGTCTTTTCTGTGCCCAGGTGTAAGGTTTTTTTCTGCGAGCTCTTTATCTGCTGCCTGTACTCTATCCCCAAAACTCCTTGACTCCCCGACTGATGCGTCATATTTGCTGTATGTGCTGCAGAACTGTGTATGTGCATGTGTAGGCTGCATTGTTGGTATCTGTACTCTTCCTCTGTTCATGTAGCAGAAGCAGAAAGGTACTTTTAATCTCCCATATTGATATCAGCCACTGCAGCATGGCTACCCAATAGGGTGTGGCCTTGCACCCGTGTATCCAAAAGCGTGTTGGATTCTCAGTCTGGTTTTTTTGCAGGCTACGTGCTTCTGAAGTGCCATTTTTCTCATTTAAATGGTGGTTCCCATGGTTCTCTGCTTCTGATGTCCTGATTTTGGCCTTGTGATCTCTCTGGCTCTTACACCTGTCTGCAGTTAGCTGTTCCATGTCATCATGTTAGTCTCGATCTAACAGAAGCATGAGGAAGCTATGGATGTATCTAAGCACACAGTCTTTACGATTCCCAATAATATCCAGTGTTTGCAGTGGAAGACAGCCTGCAACTGAATCTTGCTACCTCCCTCTTGCCTGTTCCCAAGAGTACTGGTGGTTGTGTGAGGATCAGTTGAGTGTGTGTCCACTTCAGAGCTCTTTACATACTGATTACAGTTGGCAGGCCAGGTAATTGTTTAAATCTCAGCTTAACAGAATGGGAAAGTGAGGCAGAGGGAGGTATAATGACTTGCCCGAGGTCATCTTGTTTCTCAGCCTAACATCCAGCTCTTCTCTTCTTGTCACTTATCTCAACTACAAGCCAGTGTTCTTCCTGACATTCAATTGAAATGCTGCTGTGACTCCCACACTTCTGTCTTAAATGGCTGCTCTATAAATAAAGTTTCTATTGAAAATAGCAGATTAGAAAAATGCTATTATATAATTATACTTCTTTATTATTGTGAGGTTTTTAATTCATCGCAGAGAAGCCCCCCTTAAAAGTCAGCTACCTTATCCATTCCCATTCTCTCTCCATGGTCTAGAAAGGAAGAGCAGTCACACCTAACAAGAGCCAAATTACGCATACTGGTACAAAGAAGAAAGTGCAGAGAGCAGTCACTGAGCTCTTGAAGTCTCCTTCAATACAAGGTGGAAAGGTAATTTTTCCTTACCTAACAAAGATATCTCCCCTGTAACCCATGGTAGCAGATGCATGAGGAAGTGTCCATAGCAAGTCTGTGTGTAGGACTGAGTGGTGATAGGTTCAGTATTTTAAGTTGCATCTTGAAGTGGCTGTTGAAGTCCTTCCCTTCAGATTTCTTTCCATTATTTCCACACTGATATCTTTTCTGCCAGAAATTTTCCTTCCTTTCTATATTGTGTCCAAAAATTCAAGCCACTCAATAAAGTCTAACTATGGTTATAAAATAGATTTGAAGTTTGAAAAGAAAGATAATATTGTATTGAGTTACAGAGTGACTGAGAAGCGGGAAGAGTAGCAGCAATGAAGTTTAAACTAGTCTTCCCTGCTTCCACTTCTCCTCTTTCAAGGGTGAATGGACACCAGGCTCATCTCTCCATCTACAGAACAATCATACTGTTACGTGATGCAGTGGAGTATATTGGAGTGATGCAAGTGAAGTTCTTTGTGATCCTGGGATAGGAAGGGCTGCAGAAACTGCTTTCCTAAGCTTGTTGACAGACACTAAAGGATTCACACTTCTCTTTTCCCTCTGGTAATGAACTCCTGCAGAGAATGTACCAATTTTAATGCCTTTCTTCAATCCATCTGTGCGGGGAGGGTTTTATGGAGCCCTCCCTGTGTCTGGGAAACAAGGAATTTAAAAGCTTCTTCCCAGCAAGTCTAACCCCTCAGAAATAACATAGGCATTGCAAAAGAAGGTGGCCACCTGGTTCTCTGACTGCCTGCTGTCAGGCAGCAAGGCCTAATGAACCTCTCAGGGGGAACATCCGCAGAGGGAGGATGATGAGTCTAATAGGCGCTTTGGTCCCTGGGGTTGGGAGGCATAAACAGCAGCAGGGATGGTGCTTGTAAGGGGGAGAGATGAAAGGCTGATAAGCCTTCTCACCATCCTCCCTCTCAGCATTAAGCTTCCCACATATGGTGGCTGGTGTGTGAAAGTGGGGACACAAAGTTGGTACAGTGAGACTCATCTTCGTTTTGGAACAGAGCTACTTTTCTTTCCTGCTTGCCCTCTTATCCCGGGTGCTGTCCATGCTTTTGGCTCTGATCTGCTGCTCAGTAGGTATGTCATCAGCTTAAAAGGCACCTCAGCAGCTGAGAGCCTAAGAAAGCTGGGATGGCTCTTTGAAGAACCAGGGATGGTAAATGTTCTGTGGCGTTTGAGGCAAAGGCTACCACTTTCTCATGATTTTGGCTAAGGCCACAATCACCTTCCTGCCTTATAAACCAGCAAAGGAGAAAAGGGACCCAGCATAGGAGCGTCTAGACTTGTCATGCCTCTGGACATAAATTAGTTACACCTCTAGCCACGACTCAGTTACAGACTGCTGGCCTAGCTGTCTCCAAAGCTCAATCCACCAGCTAACCCTTTCAGAGGAAGACTAAAGCCTATAGAAAATGTCAAAATAAATGATGTTTCTCTTTCTGTCACCATCTGTAGAAGGTCCTTAGAAGATGTGTGCTTAATGAAAGTACCTCACTCCATGTTTACTAAAGGTCTGCCATTTTCCAGTAAGATTATTTACTATATTCTAACCTGGTACTTCAAAACTACTGTATTTTGAGACTTAGAGAAGGAACTGTTGCTTGCTTTATGTTTTCTCACATTCTGCAAAAAGGTGTGATGGTGGTTTATAAGCTGTAATGAGTGTTATCAGTCCTGTTTATATCAACACAGTGATACCAAGAGTGCTTGAATAACATGATGATGGATATTGCACAGGAAACTAGAGAACAGCATAAATACTATGATCCAGGTAAATATCCTGACTTCAAAACACTGTCGTCTAATGTGCAGCATCTGCCACTATCAGGCTGAAAATTGCCTCAAGGATTTTGGAAATTAGGTCATAACAGGGAAAAAAATTCCATTTCTTGGTAGAATAGTATTGCCATATGGAATTTGCAAGATACATTGCTTTTTGCTAGTGGGAAGAATTGGTGTACAAGGTTTGCAACAGAGTTTCAGCCCCAAAAACAACTGAAATTTTACGAAAACTAAACTTTGGAAGAATACTTCATAATCTTTTGAATAGTCTTCAAAAATACATTTAGGTTTCCGTGCAGTTTCCTGGGGAAGGAGTTCTGAATCTGTCTTTGAATGATCTGTCTCCCTCTTTTCCTACAAGCACTTGCAGAAAAGTCCTGATGTAAGGGCAGATGGGAAATAATGCTTTGCCACTGACTTTCTGTCACCTTACCAAATTTCTTTGATCCTCCTTGTCCTGCTTTCCCCTTTTTAATGTGAAACTTTTGCTGGGGAATATTTTAGGGCTTTGTCTTTAAAAAAAAAAAAATCATAATGTAAAGTGAAAAACAATACTTCTGTACTTTTAGTATTTTTAGTGGTCTCACTGTTCATGTCTCCCAGACTTGTGTAAGATGAAAAATAACCAACTCAGTGTAAAACTCAGCTTTGTAGGCGGAATTTCTCCATTCACAAAGCTCCAAAGCCTCTTGTTTGTTAACAAGACTCCTTCATGCCTCCCATTAGTCCCAAGGTTGAACAGAGCATGCTGCAAAAGGCTTTCTTCCCCCAGAACAATTAGGAAAGCAATATGAAACACCCTTTATCTTTAAGGAGCCAGATCTTCAGCTTCCATAACCCATTCCCAAGCTAGGGGTTTTTGAACATTTCAGCTGAACTTGAATTTGCTGCAGTCTAAGAAATCCTCCTGAGAGTACCATGACCTTAAGGGTTTGGAATGCTTTAAGAGAAAAGGACACTACCAGTCCTGCAAACTGCTGATCCCGTCTCTGTTCCTTAACTAATTTTGTTTGGAAAGTGAACTCTCTGCTCATCAAGGAGATCATTGTAATGCTGCTTTTTCAGGCATTTGTCTCCCATCCATGTTATAGATGGCATTAAAATTACCAACATCAGAAAGAAAATTGAACTTCTGGTTGTGCATACGTAAGGCTTCCTGCATCTGAGTACAACATCTCTATCTGGTGGTCAGTAGACACATAACTGAGTTGCTGCATCCAAACCTTCATAAACTCTTAAGAGGCTTTGGTCTGTGTTTAATATATAACAAACATTTTCAAAAAGATCAGGCATCTCCTTGGTCACTGCTCAAAATATTCTTCATACCAAACTATTTGAAAGTGGTTGGACGGGTAGTGATTTTCAAACTGTTCAGATGTCTGCAGGTGTAGAATTGGGCTCTCTGAGTTTTTAAGAGAACCATTGCAAAGAGCATTAGATACTTGTAAGTGTCACTCACCCATGTCACTGCTGTTCAAATATCATTACAGATGTGTCCCAGGGCTCCTCCCAAGGGTTATGTTAAGCTGTGGTCTAAGGATATATTGTTGACTAGAAAGGTCTTCAGAACTTCTTGGCTCTGCTGAATAAAGCTAAGTTTATCGAAATTCAGCTTTGAGAGTGAACAAATTTTCAAGAGCTCAGAAACTCTGCAAAAGTAAATATTTAATTCTGCAGCGTTGTGGATTGTGTGTGTATGCAGGTAACATGAAGGGAAGTTGCTTTTATGGCCCTTTTTTCTTTCTTAGTTGTTCTTTTCACTCCATAATTTGGTTCTTCCACCTAAATAGTCCCCTGTTCTTGATTACCCCACCTATTTCTCTATGGGTTACACAAAGGTTGCTTTCAATACTGATGTATTTAAAATGGTGGTTTATTATATTTATTCATATTTTATTATTATAGGTTATCTGACATGTACCTGTAGTCACTAGGACCACACAATCTTTTGCAGTTCTAAAGAAGGCATACTTGTTAACTCTTACAGGTTGTTCAAGTATCCTAATAATGACATTTATAAGGAACTTGAGCTTGAGTCACTGCCTTGGTCTCAGGATATGTGATTTAAAACAACAGGAACTGACCATGCTTTTAGCTGTAGTGTGGAGGAACCATGATGAGGAAACATGGGGTGTATTTATACTGTAAAGACTAAGTGTATGTTGCAGAATAGTGTCTAGATTTTCACAGCATTTGGAATCTGTGGGTGGAGAAGTTTGTATGTACTACTAAGCAAGTTGTGGGAGCACAGAATTATTCAAACTTAAGCCGACAGCTGTTAGTCCAAGTAATTTACTGCTGTGCAAGTTGAAAAGCTTGTGCTGAACAAGAGGAACACTGATACTGGAAATGTGGCTTAGTGATTATGAACCAGACCAGGACTCAGGCAACTTGGCCTGTAGTCACAGCTCTGTCATGGACTATCTGGGTGATCTCCAGCAAGCATCTTAAGTTATGTCTGTACTTATAAATCAAATGTACCTTACGTCATTTTCGGGCAGTAAAGCCACCTGTCATGGAATCAGATCTATGGCAGTAAACCACTGGTAATTCCCAAAATAGCATAGCTTCATTTAACTTCCTACTTATGAATGGTCCCTGGATCATCCATGGCTTGGAATTGGAGTAAGTGCAAATTTCAACAGGCCAAATCTTGTGCCAGCAAACTTGCATACAGTTTATTAGCATTACTGCATCTGGGCACCTTCAAATTTGCTAGTATAGTGCAGCCTTAGCTGCTGTATTCATGGCTCAATTGACAGTCTGGGAGAATGTTTCAGCTCCTGCTGGGTCAACAAGGGAAACATGACCACCTCTTCTCTTGTTTTACAGTCTTTTGTTTTGATGGGAAGGAGCCTTAGTTATATGGCCTGAAGGGAAGGGAGCTGTGGGCACTCCAGGCGTGTCCCTCACTTAGACTGGGTCAATCAAGGGACCAGGACAGCTTGGTAAATCATTGTGCACTACTCTTTCCTGTATCTATAAAATGAAGGTAACAGAATTTCTTGACTTAAAAATATGGTTTAAGGCAGCATGCGAAGTGTTGAGGTTAAAAAGAAGTATGAAATAACTGCGGTGTTAGTCAAGCACTGTCTTTTTAAACTTAACTTGCTCCTGGGTTTCTGTAATAATGCCATATGGGCAGGTTATTCTAAACTGTACATGGTGTGTTTCTCTTAGAGTCAGTTCTCCAATACACAAAGTAATGGGAAGTAGAAGATCCATGTCTTTGCTTCATCCAAGCTAAACCATCTTGGATGGTGGCCAGATGAACCATTCACTGATCCCCTATGCCTTGGTCATTGGTAGCAATTGTATGATATTTCTGACAACTGTATAAAAGCAAGAATTAGGTGTAATGAGATTGGACTAGGTGACCACTGTGGTCCCTTCCAACTTTACTCACTTTGTGATTCTGTAATGCAATCTGGGAGATTTTCAAGACCTTAAAATACTTGGATCCTGCCTTACTACTTATTAGGCCAAAAAAGTTTCTTCAAGTTCTTTTTCCAACAGCTGCTCATACGATGATTGTGGGGCAAAAAAGCCTAACGTGCCAGTCATTCTAATCTCTTACACATTCCCTGTGGGAGCACAGTGTTCAGGGTATTCAGCATTTATCTGGTGGTGTTCACATTAGAATAGACAAATGAAAAGCCATAGTTGCCAGGAAGAAGGAATAGTGTAATGTGTCCATTCATTGGCTTTGGCACAGTTAACTTTA